CTAAACATCTACAAAAAAACACGTCAACACATAAGTTTCTGTCTTATTGTCCTTTCCCTTTTCAAACCCATAATTAAAAATCATAATCTTGATGTCGATGAATATGTTGAAATTAAGAAAATGCCTTTAATGACAATCCAAAACGACAAATCACGAGTAATCAAAAGAAAGGATTAGTACTGCTCATCAATGATTCATGACCTTTGACATGAAAGGAAATTATAAAAACAAATTAGCTACAGTAATTGCTCGATCAATCGCTAGCTTCAGATAATATGTACTATTATTGTTAAGATAACGACTTAGTGCCTTGACTACACATTAGCGACATGATTAGATAGGAGGCTGTTCGTATGCATGCACTGTATCACACATAAATTCCACAGAGATAAAAATCTATCTTATGCTCCCTGAGCAGGGAAAAAAGCTATTGATTGATGGATGATGAGATGGGTCATTTAGGATTAGTGAGTTGTTAAGCTGTTAACTTCAGGATTACCATCACAATTAAACAGTGCTAAGGCCAACCAAAAACCAAAACAATTCTTTTTGTTGTAACTTGATTTTTATAGTTTCTAATTAATTAAAAATTGTTTGTGGGGGGTTGTTGGTTGGGTGATGGTTCCATTAAATGTTAATGGGGGTGGTTTATTTGACAAGCCAAATAGCCAATAGAGAAAGCACAAGCCATTGTAGTACTTTTCTTGTAATGTTTACTTAAAATTTTATAAATAGTTTGTTTTGGAAGAAGAGAAGGACACATGATCTCGAGTTCGATTCTCAGAAACTAACCATTTTGAAGGTTTTTTTTAGTTGTGACCAAAAGGACATAATCTCTTATGCTCGTAGATTTATTGATTATTGATAAAATCAGAATAATCACAAACAATCAAGTTCCTTGTCTTAATACTAATAATAAATATGAAAAAAATAGATTGGAGATTCTTGACACGGAATTCTGGAGCAATTGATTAAACAAGGATGATTAGTGTCCTTTTATTAGGGTGTGATACCTTTTGTCAATTAAGTTTGTTCTCACTCGATCGATCATCAAATTGTGCCTACTTTCAATGTTCTTGGTTCGGCAGACGAGTCAAAAACTGATGACGATCAAGGTTTTATTTTTTATCGATGAATAATGCAGCCAAATAACATAACGGTGAGAGAGAATAAATTAAAAAATGGGTTATATTTTCCACAAGCAAGTTTTGATTAATATAAAAAAAAAATGGCCGTCGCCATAGATAGCAGCTGGGCGGCGACAAACCTGCATTTCATAGCATTTATATATGAGACGAGGCATGTAAATGAATGATCTTATCTACGTACTTACGTTCGTGTATCAATACAATTAGCCGATCAAATTTGTCGTTAGTGTTATGTGTCGTAATTCGTTGCTTGTGTTATTTAATTGATGATTATTATTATGATTCCATTTCCAGGACCACACTAATCATACCATTGTATAATAAACTAATAATAATTATGTTGCCATTAGGCCGTAGTTGAATTTGTTTAACGCACGGTTATTGCTGTCATCAATCTACTACTTTTTCATGGACCACTTTTAAATTTTAATTTAACATATGTAATTGTCAATTATGCAATGTTTATACGTAGTGGTCGATCACGATTGGGCAAAGATTGACTTAGAAAGTTCGCGGAGTTCTATAAGTCGCCATTCTGACAAAATCAATTTAACTTCTGCTGATCAAGAAGAGTGATAAAGTGAACATGGGTTTCAATTGAAAGCCTGGATAAGTTAGATGTTTTTAGGCGTGGGTAAGGATCTGTGGAGATAGGATGACATTGGATATTTGTAAGTTGACGATGGAGTGATCAGTAGGTAGTTGAATGGAGTGTGGTTTAATTAGCGGAAAACGAAAGTCAATTCATATGAGTTTGACTATGGCACAAGTTCAAGAATATATGCAATCAATTTAATTTTCGTCATGCAGATTATATAGAGTAAATTCCGAGGCATCTTATGCATGTAGCCTAGACATACATGGTTTTTCTTTTTAGAAAATAATAAATGGTGGTATTTGAGGAATAAGGGTCGGTCAGCTCTCTTTCAAATGAAGCATATAGCATTAGAAATTTAAGTCATATATGCTTGTATAATTATCTATATAACAACATTTTGTTCAAATTGAAGGGGGAAATCGGATCCTATGCCAAGCTCATGTTGGCGAGAATGAGATTGAGCCAATTTGGCAGTATAAGGAATTGGGGTTGTACTCGTCATTAGGGAGATCATCCACTCGAAATTTTCGAGCAAAATATCATAAAGTTCGGAGATCAAAGATTCAGTACATAGAAATCAGCCTCGAACCTAAAATTCGGTAAACATGATCACCAATTCGACTAAGAGGCATAAACTTCTTTGTTTTATTCATATGCAACACAGGTTACGTTGGAATCGTTTGATCAGGATTGTACATACCACTGAAAGATATGTTTGACATTTTTTTTTTTTTTGACAAAGAGGATCTTGTTGCACTTTGCAAGATTGGTTATAGAGAGAAAAATAAAAACTCCGACTTCAACACAAGATCAAGGTACCAAAGGAACACAGAATGACATCAAACCATGGCTGGGAAAATACAACAACGGGAAGCAAGGCACAGATTGACATCACTCAAACGACAAGCATTGAACCTGGAAAATCCTAGATTTGGAATGCCAAAACGGTTGTAGAAAATAAAAACTTGAAGGTGAACCGCCTAGAACATAGACTTGACACTTGGTGATGGCAATTTGAACCCGTCCCGTGGGTATTCCCCGACCTAATTCGCAATAAGGCTGGTATTACCCGAACGCAGTAGCATGGGTCGAGGCATCGATATCTACTTCCGACCTACCCTGCTCTCCTCCGTTTCGTTCTTGGCCCATTCTATCTCGATTTCTTACAATATTTATACATATTTATCCTATTTTGACTTTTCTTCAACTAGTTAGAGTCGATGTTACAACTTATTATGGTCAATTACCTATTCTATTATCACTATTTTTCATTCATAAAGTGTTTTCCCCTTGATTCTATCGTACAATATAAAATTTGCGTATATATTATTTCAAATAACATGTAAGATAGTAATAGTAGGTCGACCCGACTCGCGCGGGTTTTGCCCATCTCGACCCACAGTAACGTTGGACGGGACATGGATATTGAGATAGCTGTCACGAACCGCCTCATTTGACACTTTCCTAGATAACTGGCTCTTGAATCCTGATCACTATAACATCATCAACTGATTAGAAAAGTACAAAATTCTCCACTGAACAAATACCCAATCATTCTACGCATGGATAAACTTCTTCTGCCCTTGACCTAACAAATGGCAAATACGAGTTCACGATCAAAATCAAACAGTCTGTTTGTGCGCATGGCAAACCCTAAAACGTGAATTTGGGATTGTCAGGTGGTGGGGGCTATAAATGACGAGGCACTCCGTCTCCGATCATTAATTACAATTTGTACCGGCATGGACAGGTGGCCGGCGGAGGTAGCCCGACCCGCCCCGGCAGCCAAAAAATCGCCCCGCTGTCTCACCTTAATTTCTTTCTTCCCCTGCCGACGCTGTCGGTTTCGGTAAGGGAAAAAAAAGGGCGAATCATCCGGGTTTCACGAAACGTGGTCGCTATCTCCCCACGAAAAACGTTCCCCGCGGTGGGGCCCTGTACCAGGAATCACTGGTGGCGGCCTGCGGCGGCGTAAGGTGGCCGGCGATGGAGAGGTGGCGCGGGGGACCACCGTGTCACCTTGTCATTTTTTTTTTGTGGGACCGCTTTGTAGACTGCATGCTCTGCTCCTTTGGATTCTATTCCCAACTTTGGCTTGGAGTCTGACCCTCTTCTCAACCCAACCCGAAACTGCGTGACAAGGGATAGTATTTATTAGCTATATAGTGTGAAAATACTTCTTATGTTATTATTGTAATAACACTATTCTCCAATCAATAGGAAGTTAGGGTTGTGATGATTATTTATTAGTTGAGTTGACCTAGTGTAAAATCAAAGCATGGGTATAATTGTCATTATGAAAATATAGTTAAATAATATTAAAAAATTAAAATTTTAAATTTTAAAAATATTTTTATTTTCTGCCCAAAATTTTGGTCACCGAAATCCGGTCGTCGATCTCCGAAATCCGTTTGTCGGTCATCGGAATATGTTTTTTTGTTGCCAGAATATGCTTGTCGGCGTCGGAATATGCTTACCGGTGGTCGGAATATGCTACCGGCGTCGGAATCTAGTCATCGGGGCCGGAATATGCCTATCGGCGCAGGAATCTATTCACTAACGGTCGTCGGAGTTTGGTCAACAAACTTTGTAGACCGGTCAACGATCACCGCATATTGTGGTGTGCATTGTGAGATTATGGTTTGGTTTCTCATATTTTTTTTTATGCATTTTGTAGTTTGCTTTATCGTGTTTCTGGTTTACATTAAGAAGTTTCTGACGTGCTTTCGAAAAAAATTTGGTTTGTTTTGCGGGGTTTCTGGTTTGTTTAAATAGATTTTTGGTCTGCATTAGGAAGTTTCTGCTTTGTTTTTGTGGTTTGTTTTATCGTGTTTCTGGTTTGCATTATGAGGTTTCTGGTGTGCTTTCGAAAATTCTTTGGTTTGTTTTGTGAGGTTTCTGGTTTGTTTTAATAGATTTTTGGTCTACATTAGGATGTTTCTGGTTTGTTTTTGTGGTTTGCATTAGAAGGTTTCTTGTGTGCTTTCGAAAATTTTGTGGTTTGCTTTGTGAGGTTTCTGGTTTGTTTTTATAGATTTTTGGTCTGCATTAGGACGTTTCTGGTTTGCTTTATCGTGTTTGTGATTTGCATTATGAGGTTTCTAGTGTGATTTTAAAATATTTGTAGTTTACTTTGTTGGGTTTCTGGTTTGTTTTACGGAATTTGTGGTATGTATTAGGAGATTTTTTTGTGCCTTTTATGATTTGTTTTACCGTGTTTGTGGTTGCATTAGAAGATTTTTGACAATGCAAATAAATCGTTCATCACTTTACTTTCAAGTTAGAACTTCGCCTCAATCCCACAGCATGCTCCCCAGCACTCCGCTCCGCTTTTCGTCCAGGAATTCTCCGGTCCAATAAAAATCTCCCCAAAAAAGATTCCGCCAGCACTTGGTCCAATTAATTGTGTTCTCTGACTCCGAATATAGAGCTCCCCTCACTAAAATAACGCTCCAGAATGATTATTTGGATCCGAATTTAGGGCTCCCTTTACTAAAATAACGCCACCTACCTAGTTTTCATATGAAAGAGGGAGCCGCAGTTCTCGCCACTGATCTTGACGCAGAGTGCAAAGAAGGAAAGAACGAAGAAAGCCATCGGGAAGGAGATGAGACAGAGGTGGTGGAGTTGTAATTACACACCCAACGACGGTAGACTAGGAGGCCGGCGGTCGCTGTTATGAAATTTAGGGGACGGGAAGGCGGCGAGAGTTAATCGTCGATTGGATAATGGCGGGGAATAAGCAAGGGCGGTGGAGGAAGAAGCATGGCGGAGGAGAAACGTCGCCGCTGCGGTGGTGATTGGGAGATAGGCCGTTGGGGATGCTCTCCTAGCGCCCAGCTGCTGCATCTATTTCGTTCTCCGGGCACCCAACTGCAGCGGTGGTAAAGATCTCGATTGATGGGCGTGACGGCGACGTTCCTCATTCTCCTGGCCGGAGACGGAGGAGAAGCAAGCCAGCATAGAAAACGAGGAGAGGAGGAACGAGAACAAGAGAGAAGCCATGGAGAAGAAGGAATCCCAGATGGGCGCTGCTACTGCTTTACTTCCTTTCTTTTCTTCTTCTCATCTGAAAGGAGGAAGGCGGAGAAGGAGGAATCCCATACGAAGAAAACCAATTTTTTATTATTATTTTGATTTAATTTTTATTGCATTTTGTTAAATTACCTTATTGTCCTTGTTGTTATAGTAACAACAAATAGACTGTTGTTATACTATCCGCACCCGTTTTAACTCGTATCGTCATGATTTTTGTTACCGATTATTTCAATCTCGCTAGCTAGTGGAAATAGCAGAAAGAAAACTATCGAACAATATTTGTTAGATCAATTATTGAATCATTTATTTGATCTAGTTTTATTATTTATTAAAATCTATGTTAGATGAGATGACACAAATGTTGGGAGATTAATTTAATTTTTTTTAGGTAAACATTTAGGTTAGGTTGAGAATAGGACATACAGCTGGTTGTAATTTGCTATCCTTTTAATGGGTTTATATTTTTATTGTTTTGGGTAATTAGAAGTATAGCATTTAATTGATCATGTGATTGGTTGAGGTGTCTAATCTCCATGAATTCAAAGCTTGGTAATTGGTCTGGGCTACCCAAGCTTAAATTTGTACAGCTCAATATTTGAATTTGTCCCCAGACACCAAAATATATATACTCATTAATATCAATACGTCACACTCCGAAAATAGGCTTCGTCAATTAAGGAAGTCATTTTTTTTTTGGTAATTATATCTCCACCAACGATTTTGACTTTTATAGTTAAGATAATTACGCTTTCATAATATATTACCATATATATATATATATATATATATATATATATATATATACTGGAGAATTTCAATACCTTGCTATGGTTATCTCAGTGGCGGACCCGGAATTGTCGGAGAGGTGTGTCGCCGATTAAATAAGATAATAATTAATTAAAATTAAATATAAATTAATTCACAAAGTTCATAATGTCATGCTTACAACGAACCACGACGACTTTTCATGTCTTGAAATGTCTGTAAAATACATTCAACGCTTATGTTGGGAAGCAAATCCTTTTTTTATATACACAACTAAACAATTATTTATAAATTGGTCACTCAACCGATTTCGAAGTTCATTCTTGATTATCTTCATAGCTGAAAATGCTCTTTCACACCGTGCAATTGCAACAATTAAAGTCAACACAAAATTCAAGAGCAAGTAAATTAAAGAATAAAAGAAAAGGGGATGTGGCAATGGATCTCGGTAATTAAAAACTAAAAGAGGTAAGGATGAGTATTTTATTTATTAATTTCAACAAAGAAAGGGTTAAGGGATGGAAACGGTGAATTTCAAAGGATGGGGTTATTTATACTTTTTCATTGTTGGATTGTGGTGTGAGTTACTTTAAAACAAGCACATTTATTTGATTTTACTTATTAATATTTATTACTAATTAAAATAAATAAATTTATAACAAAGAAAATCATTCTCATACTATGAAGGTGTGTCGCTCACAACCATTTGAGCTGTGTCGGAAGTCCCAAATTAAAAAAATTTGTACAAAAAATATATATATCATGCACAACATTTCTGGCGAGGGTGTGTCGGACAACACACCCTGTCCCTTCCTAGGTCCGCCCCTGGTCATCTCTACATGGCTCACTTCAATTCCATTAATATGTTTAGGGGAAAACTTTAATTTGTCCCCTATTACAACGTTTCACCTATAATCTAAGATAGACGATTAATTTCATTAATTATTAACTCAACACAACGATCTAACATTCTAATCCTCAACCCACTATTTGGATGATGAGTATGTTTCATGTTTGTAAATGGATAGGTTGGATTGGGGTACGGGTTAGATTGATATGAGTGGTCTAAGTTGTTGTATTAACAAGAGGATTGTTTATAGTATCAAATCTGGTGACGTATAACATGGTAGATAATATATGTTCATTTCGAATCATCAATGCATATGGATGGAGATGAATAAAATGATTGTTTAAATAGCTAGGGCCAAGTCGGTTGAGTGACAATTTTGTCAAGTGATTTTGTTTATGAGATCCAAGTGACCATGAGATCAATTTCCCTATTGTACGGAAAACAAATTAATACAACCAAATAGCAGCCATGAAAGGGAGTAGAGAACTAGAAATGGTGGGAAAAGAAGAAATTAGGCATTAGGATTTAGGGGTGGCTTTGCTGGATGACAGGTGGTTCCTGCAGACTGCAAAAAATACAGTGAGTCGGGGTCAGGCTGTGGGATGAAAGGCACAGGGCATATGTTTGACTTCTTATTCAAGGTTTTAGCCTTTTAGGTGAGAATTTCGAGGACCTAGAATAAACCCAACAATTTGACATTTATATTGATTTATTTTCATATATAGAAAAAGAAACCCAGCTGGTCGATTTTATATATTTTGCAGAAATTTCTAGTTAGTTTTTAGTTATTTTTTTATGAATTTAGTTTTTAGTTTTTACTGAACGTAAAAAAAAAAAAAAAAACTTGCGAAATCTAGTCGCATCGATCGTCAGAGTGAGACTGGTGTGGTGACTATCATCTAGCTATCATAAATCGCTGCTAAGGGCACAGTAGCATGCAGTTTTCCAGTTTGATCACGAGATGCAACAATGCGCAAAAACTCAAATAATTGGGGAAAACGAGGAGGGAAAAGGGCAGCAAGGCAATATAGTTTTTCTTTTATAAGTTACGATTTTCTTTTGGAAAAAGAATGATATGGTAATAATAGGGTTGGCGACGGGGCGGATCGGGGACGGATTCATACCATCCGTTCCCCGTCCGTGAGCAGTGTCGGGTTTCCCCGTCCCCGGCCACTCAACGGGGCCAAAACTGCTACCGTCACCGTGAAGCAACAGATTCGGGGAAACCATGGGTCCCCGTTACCCGGTAAAAACACTAAATAATTAAGATATTCAAACAAGAAAATAACTGAAAAACATGTAATTCAGTTCAAATTCAAAGTTGAGCACCGTCAAAAGCAGCTTAACATAAAGCCTATAAGGCTGCAACCCTCCCACCACCCAGAACTCTGAATTTTCAAGAGTTCCTCAATTGTTCATCAACAGTCTCATAGTTATAAGTAGCAAAGAAAAAACAAGTAAACAACTCAAACTCTCAAAGGCAGTAAGCCACACACCAATCCATTGTTCAAATTTGGAACAGATAAGCCAAACTCAAACTCAAACTCTCAAAGGCAGTAAGCCAAACTCTCAAAGGCACCAGCAAGGCAGCAACCAGATTTGAAGAACAGAAGCAATCAAGCAGCACATGGCAATTTCACATGATTCCTAAGGTGCGAGGTTCCATTACGAGTATCACCACCAAGGTTTTTTCGACAGTACTTGCACTTAACTTTAATAACCCAACCCTAGTGTAATGAGGCCATACATCAGAAGTCAATTTGCATTCTTCAACAAGCACTTCAGCATTTTCATTAGCCAAGTTACCGTTACCATTACCAACTTGTTCAGGTTGGTTGTTTTGATCAACAGGTGCAGGTTATGGAGGAACAGGAGCATTGACAACATTTTCAGGTGCACCGTCCATCTGACATTGAGATAAACGAGTATAGAAACATCAGAGGATTGCTTGGTTACTTTTTAGGCTTTAGCTATAAGATTTCTAGGTTCAAATTTATAGTCTTTTAGATTCAATTGCAAAATGCAGATGAGACACTTATACTAAACAAGACATGATTCATATAGTCTTTTGGAAAATGATCACCACTCTATCTCTCCCTATAGCCATTTTCCCAAACATTTTAAAAAGATGTAGTTTTGTTCCCCGTTTGGTTGAAATGTTAGCTACTGTGTGTGTCACATATGCATCATGTATAGGCTATAGCTTTCTAATTTCTACATATCAGTGTGTTGGTTTTTGGAATATGATGGTTTATGACAAATACAGGGCAACTGGAAAATCTAGGGTCAAATTCTACCTATCTATAAATACACACCACTTCAACGAACGAACGTACCCTACAACTGATCTCACAGGCTCTTCCCTTTCGTCGCCTAAATTCCCGTCGCCTTCAATAATTACTGCCACCATCTTTGGCCCTTTCCTCCTTTTCTTTCGTCTTTGTAGCACTGCAAGACAACAGAGGGAGTCTAAGGAAGCGCCAAAGAAAAAACTTGCCAATGAATCCCAAAGTCACTGTCAAACCAAAGACAATTGTAGACCCATTGAAAACCGCATGGTCTTTAGGGCCACTTCATTTCCTTTTCTTGCCACCACAACCGTACACAAGGGGAGCGCCAAAAAGAAATTATATATCCGACAAATATATATTATTTGTCAATAATATGACTGTCATATATGATTTATCTCAAATTTATAGATTTGAATCGTGCTATTTTGAAATTTTTGTGATTGAGTTTTCGGACAAGGGAAAGGGAAGTTGTTAAACAAAGTCTTTCATCTAGTTTACTCGAGTCGTTAGCTAATATGATATTTCACTTATTAAGGAGTCGAATCTAGTTTACTCGAGTCTTCAACAATATGAGCTGAGCAATAGGTCGAAATGTGATGTACGTGCTTTGATAGAACAACCGTGTCGTCGATTTCATTTGGTGCATTTATGATCACTGTGCAATATGGAAAAGTGGTGGCATCAGATTAATTAAACCAACTTAACGGTAAGTGTAACTAATCAAATTAATTATGCTTAACTCCCTAGCTACATATATAGTTTCAGTAATTCGGGTGAACAAAATTGATATTAAATTTTTCTAATGATTAAACATGACACGATTTAATAATTTCAGTGACCAAATATAGCATTTACACGTTATTTTTGGTGTGCACATTGTGTGATCACAGTTGGGAATTAAATAAGTAGATCGACTAGAGTATTCAAAGCGATGAGCTGCTAGCTAGGACTAGGAGGAGGAAGAGGATAATTATGGTGATCTCTTGAGAGCCAGGGTAGTGGGTGAGGAGGATTAGGCAGCTCATCTCGGATTCGGAGAATTTGGTCCCCATTAAATTAATGACATTCTATATAATAATAATAATGCATCTCCCAAAGAGAGTAAGCAATGAGAGAATAACCGTCGATGGAAGAACTGAGGAAATTACGAATAGAGTTGAGAGGGAAATATCTTAGAGAGAGAAGTTGATAATCTTAGAGATAGAGTCAGAAAAATCTGATCCCATCACCCACCAGAGTAAATGCCATATTTATAGGCTACATGGTGGTAGGTGAGTGGTTGAGCTACATGTGAGTACAATGACATGACCACTGACATGTCAGGGATTTAGGCCATGCTTATACCTAGGACATGTCAGAGGCTTGATCCTTCCACGTGCGCGTAGCCTGTGTCACGCTCGAGATCTTCGCGCCAGTGCCTTCACAGTGTCGCGCTCGAGGCCATCGCGCTGAACCGCGTTGGGATCTTCGCGCTGGACCGCGCTGGAGATCTTCGGTCGCGTCGCGTCCTGCCGGGTTTGGCGGCATTTGGGGTAGTGTCGGTGCATTCCTCTGGCGCGGCTAGGTCCGAGTCACATGCCCAACACAGACCATTCACTGGTACTAGGCGCGAATTGCACCCTTCCGATGCGATTTGTGCTTCCTTGGGCGTGGATTGCTCCGCTGGCGTACGATCTGGGATCCTCGGTGCTGATCGCTCCGCTGGCATGCGCTGAGCCGTCGGATCGTCCCTCAATCCGACGATCTTGAAGATCGTTCCGCGTCCTCCCCAAATCGCATCTGTTTGGTGCGTTTTATTTTATGGATTGCACCCCTCTGATGCGTTTTACATGTAGATCGCATCTGTTTGGTGCGTTTTACATTTAAAACGCATCTTAGGGGTGCGTTCCAAAAAAATTGGTGCTAGTTTTGTAATTTTTTTTATATGGTGCTATTTTTGTAATTTTTTTTAAAGGTGCTATTATTAGAAAAATCCCGATAATTTTGTAAATAATTAGAAACCAAATGGGTAGTGTACATAAGTGAGTTTTGGGAGGAGCATGGTCACAAACTGAGAAAAGAGGCAGAGGAGGAGCGGGCATGGCAGAAAGAAAGCAAGCAAATTTTGAGAGAGAGAGAAAGGAAGAGATGAGCTGTTGGAGGTGGTGGTCCTTTTTTTATAAACGAAAAAAGGAAATATAAGAGCGCGTAGACAGAGGGAACCAAAAAAGAAGCAACTTTCCGGCAATAATCGGATCCAGCTAGCCCTTTCTTCTTCTACTACAATACATCTCAGTAGCTCTTCTCTTCTCTTTGTTTTTTATTTGTTCCGACGGGTGACGTGGGTCATTTCACCGCCGTCCCATTCCGTCAAACCGCCGCCGTCCCCTTCCCCCCGCTCCCTCCCATCCATCCATCCATCAAAACTCAAGACAAATGTCAAGCCTGGCCTCCATCTCAAAAAAACGCATAAACCAATGATTCTCTATTAACCATCGTATGGTTGAATACGGTATCTTTACCGTTAGGCTAAATCGTAACGATATAACCTACATGAATGTGGCTTGCTCCACCAAAACCATATTCTTTTCATTCATTAGGCTTAAAAATGATATAGTAATAGCAAGTCCCGGGATACTCACCAAAAGACTTATTTGATAGAGTAAAATTTTGCTGTAAAATTCAGCATTTCTTAGCTATAATTGCACATCCCTAATCTCTCCCCAAAATCCAACTAGAAATAGTTACCACCAACTCACTCACTCACTCACATTATTTTATTTTATTTTATTTTATTTTATTTCTGATGGGTATGGGAAAGGTGAGAGCGAGTGAATAATTTTTTGGAACTTTTTGCCTACGTCTTTGGCTTTTAAGTGACACCTCTCCTCCATACAACCGAATATTTCATTTCCCCCACTTCCCCTTTCTCTCCTCTCTCACCCACTCTCCTCCACCACTGCTTCCTCCTCCTCCTCCTACGCCGCGTCTTCCTTACCTGCGACGCCATCGCCGCCGCCGCCGACGTCTCGCATTCCTCCCTCTCCAACTCTCCCACCTTCCCCTCCCAGCTCAAATCAATCCCCCGCCCCCCCCCAATTTCAGATCTCCATTTAAGACCAACTAACCCGAACAAGGACACCAAACTAACTACCTAACCAATAAGCTCAAAACTGAAAACCCAGAAATTTTGATTCCATCCAACATAAACCCTGCTGCCAGACGCTTCAGCCTGATTTCCCCCTCGTCCGTCAACCTACATTTTGCTCCAGTGAGTTCGATTTTCTGCGGTGAGAGTCCCGTCCCGTTTGGTGGTTGGGGGAAAACAGTACCTCGTGGTGGTGCTGATGATGATGTTAGCGTGTTGTTTTCGTCTGTTTATGTCTTTGTTTTCTGGAGAGTTTTTTTTGTTCCGATGCCATTCGTACCCCCGTTAAAGAATTTCTCTATCTGCAATTTACCCGGTCGATTGCTCCTCTCAGTGTCGGTGGGTTTTCTTCCATTTCAACTCCGGCGAAAGCTCTCTGATTGGAAAATTATCGATTGAGTATCTAATCGGAGCTAGTCGTTTTCCCCCTGCTGAAATGGGTTTCTTTCCTCTGTTTCTCACTGTTCATTGTTTCCTTTCCCCCCAACCGTCTCTGAGCTCCTAGGTATTCAGAGACTGTGACTGTCAGTTCTAGCTTTCCAAACTCATCCCCCTACCTTCCTTCTTCTGTTTGTACATTTTTATTTCTTTCCTCACTGTAGATTTCTACTGTTCTTTCAGCTCCCCAGAGTTCAAACTGCACTTTAAATTACCTATGGTGAAACTGTTTTGGAATTCTTGCAGTTCTTGTCTTCTGGAGATCTTGTTTGTGCAATTATGAAGCTCTGTTGATTTTGGATCTTGGGTTTTACTCTTTTGTAATAGTTTTTTAACCTTCCTTTGCATGCTCAATTCCGATTAATACTGCTTCCCTAAATTGAGAGGTGTTCCAGATTTCAGCCCCCCATGAATTGGCACATCAAATAGAGCATTTATGGTATTAAAATGATAATTGACGTGGTTGGTCTGTTACTATCTATCTGTTTGACACTACTCCTAAAGATTCCTTGATTGCGTTTTGAGAGTATTTCTTTTTCTGGGTCTTTGTAATTCGGATTATTTTTTTTTGGTTTTGCTTAATCTGAACTCTTTCTAAGGGTCATAATGATGACTCATTTGTGGTTTGCTTGCTTCTTTCTTGACAATGTAGTTTGGATTCATCTCTTTGCAGAACTTTGATTGGTAGAGATGGATCGCCGGAGTTGGCCATGGAAGAAGAAGTCCTCATCTGAGAAGGCCTCTAAAGCCGCGGCAGCCGCAGCCGAGTCTCTGGATGCTGCTTTGGCTTCTGCTGAACCACTGGCGCAGACAGAGAAGGTAAAAAAACTTCACCTTATTAATCTCCAAGATGAAACCTGGCTATCGAGAAGTTGAGCTAGTTTTGACCCCTGGGATTATGTCTGAAACAGGATAACTACAAGAAACCGAGTTATGTCCAAATCTCAGTTGAATCGTACACCCATTTGAATGGTTTGGAGGAGCAGGTGAAAGGATATGAAGAACAAGTTCAATCACTAGACGACGAGATCAAAGACTTGAATGAACAGCTCTCTGCAGCTCAATCAGAAATGACCACAAAGGAAAACTTGGTCAAACAGCATGCCAAGGTTGCTGAAGAAGCTGTCTGTGGTAATAATACTTGCGATTCCCTATGGATGCTTGTGATTCAATCTTTTATCTCCCGCCATTTTTATAGAAAATGGATTGTTTTCTTATGCAGGATGGGAGAAGGCTGAAGCAGAGGCATTGGCTTTGAAAAACAGTTTAGAAGCAATGACTCTGTCCAAGCTGACGGTCGAAGATCGAGCAGCTCATCTGGACGGTGCTCTCAAAGAATGCATGAGGCAAATACGAAACCTGAAGGAAGACCATGAGCAGAAATTGCAGGAACTTGTTCTCACCAAGAACAAGCAATGTGAAAAGATTAGACTTGATCTCGAATCAAAGATTGCTAATTTGGATCAGGAGCTGCTAAGGTCAGCAGCTGATAATGCAGCATTATCTAGGTCTTTACAGGAGCGTGGCAACATGTTGGTGAAGATGAGCGAGGAAAAATCTCGTGCGGAGTCTGAGATCGAGGTTCTCAAGGGGAATATAGAGTCTTGTGAGAGGGAGATAAACTCGATGAAGTATGAAGTACATGTGGTGTCAAAGGAGCTTGAGATAAGGAATGAAGAGAAGAACATGAGCATGAGGTCTGCTGATGTTGCGAACAAGCAGCACATGGAAGGTGTGAAGAAGATTGCCAAGCTTGAAGCCGAATGCCAGAGACTACGTCAGCTCGTGAGGAAGAAACTCCCAGGTCCTGCTGCTCTGGCACAGATGAAGCATGAGGTTGAGAGCTTGGGCCGAGATTATGGGGATTCGAGGTCGAAGAGGTCACCTGTCAAGCCTTCTAGCCCGCACATGTCGCCTATAACTGAATTCTCTCTTGGAAAAGAGACGGAGTTCTTGACAGAACGGTTGTTTGGCATGGAAGAAGAGACCAAGATGCTCAAAGAAGCTTTGGCTAAGCGTAATAGTGAGCTTCAGGCTTCGAGGAATCTATGTGCCAAAACATCGAGCAGGCTTCAGAGCTTAGAAGCTCAGCTTCATATGACCAACCAGCAGAAATCTGTGCCTAGCTTCACATCCATGTCAGAGGATGGAAACGATGACGATCGAAGCTGTGCTGAATCTTGGACCGCATCCATGATGTCTGAAAAGAACGGAGACAGATCATCGATCAAGGCAGAGAATGCTAAGAACCTTGAGCTCATGGATGACTTCCTTGAGATGGAGAAGCTGGCTTGTTTGGATAACCCTGGTAACAAGACTCCTGAGGTCGCTAATGGCACTTCTGATATGCCTAGTGGAGAAGCTCGACCAGAAGAAGTCAACTCGGGCAGAGATGAGGACATGCAATCAAAGATATTGGAGGATGTTAAAACTGTAGAGACCGAAATGAGCCAAGACTTGGCCTCTGCAGTCTCTCAGATACATGATTTTGTACTATTGCTTCGGAAAGAAGCAATGACTATTGACGGTGATGATGGGGAAGGACTAACTAAGAAGATTGAGGACCTGTCGTTGACCATCAACAAAGTTCTAAACCAAGGTTCAAGCTTAGACACCTTCATTTTCGACCTGTCCCAAGTGCTGGACAAGGCGAGTGAGCTACGGTTTAGTGTGATGGGGTACAAAGGAAATCAAGCTCAGATCAATAGCCCGGATTGTATCGACAAAGTCGCTCTGCCAGAGAACAAGATTGTAATGGATGATGAACCATACTCGTCAATGAATGGCCATGTATCAAGTGGCAGTCCAAAGGCAAATCCTGAGGTTCCAGATGATGGGAACTTGATCCGGTGCAAAGTGTCATTAGAGGAGTTTGAAGAACTGAAGACGGAGAAGGACAACATGGCTCTTGATCTTGCTAGATGTGGTGAAGAACTCGAAACCACTAAGCTGCGGTTGCAAGAAACAGAGCAACTGCTTGATGAAGTCAAATCACAGCTGACAAATGCTCAAAAGTCAAACTCTTTGGGTGAGACTCAGTTGAAGTGCATGGCAGAATCCTATAGATCACTTGAACTACGTGCTGAAGAGCTAGAAACTGAGCTAACCTCCCTTAGAGTCAAGACGGAAGGGTTAGAGTGTGAGCTTGAGAATGAGAAGAGGGCTCACGAAGAGGCTTTGAGCAGATGCAAGGATCTTCAAGAGCAACTCGAAAGGTATGAACTTTAACCTATTCACTTGTTTTCCATTTTTTCCGCAACAAACCTGATCGAAGTTACTCATGTTAAATTCATTTAGGAATGAGAATTGCCCAGTTTGTGCAGCAGCAGCAGCCGAGACGGAAGACAAGCAAAAACAGGTATGTCTTATGCATTGTTTAATATCAAAACCTTCTATTTGAAACTCAGATTTCAATGAATGAACAAATCGTTCTCTTTTTCCTACAGGAGAAAGACCTGTTAGCTGCAGCAGAGAAGCTAGCGGAATGCCAAGAGACGATATTCTTGTTAGGCAAGCAACTAAATTCTCTACGCCCTCAGTCGACAGAGAACTCTGGGGAAAGGAGTCCGAGAGGAGGCGATGGTTCTGCCGATGAAGAACCACCAACAACAAGTGGCACAAACTTGCAAGGAGGAGATGAAATGCTGGACACTGCAACTTCTCCTGCTCCTCAGTCTCCAGTGCATTCGTACAACAACCCGGGAAGGGAAAGCCCTGATTTGGAAGCTGCCAATTTGTTGAGATCACCGGTTAGCTCAAAACATCCTAAACACCGGCCAACCAAGTCAACCTCGTCGTCTACTTCATCCACTCCAACGCCCGAGAAGCCTGGGAGAGGGTTCAGCAGGTTCTTTTCGTCCAAAGGGAATAAGAATGGGAATTAGTAAGTAAATCCACACTGCAATAGGTTGCAGCTCGCAATCTACTGCATGAACATGATGTGATGATGATGATGATGCTGTCTCTGCTTGTTTGCTGAGTTTGGTTTAGGTTTTTCTATGTTGTTGTGAAGAATGTGATGATGGGTGATTATAGAATGGCGGGGTTTGGAGAAGGGGAGTGGAATGGTAATTTTGTAACTAATGACTGTCTGTCTGTGTCTAGTATGTGTATGTATATGGTATCCATATATGTGACTTCCTTTGCTGTTCTTTTTTTGGTGTTTACGTTTGTATTTAAACGTTGGTGAATGATGTAACACAACACCATTTTGGACAGTTATATATATATTATTGCGAAAGGTTGATACTTTGCTTGTCGTCTCATTCCCGCACGCTGATTTCGTTGTTTCAAAGGAATTCTTTTAGCTCGAATCTTATGCAGCAAGTCCTATGAGCTAATCACTTCGAACCTAAGATTGAGCAGAAGGAAAAAAAAAAAAAAAAACAGAAGAGTTCGCCCATTCAAGTACAATGAACTATATAATTGACAGAACACTATTGCCTTTCTTCTGGTTATTGTTTTGTAATTGAGTTTCTTACCCGTTGAAAGTTGAAACAGTAATTAGAAGCTAAGAACTTGGTACAGTCAGCCATTGTTAAACTAATATAGATACATTCGAGATGGAAAAAGTTAATCTGCTAATTTGAAAATTCGTTAGTAGATACTAATTGATATTCAAAATGCATGAATTAGTATCCAAACATGTTGCTTTTATGAACTAGTATTCAAGGTTTGCTAACTGATATCCACCATGAATCAACTATTATCCCAAATTCACAAACTAATATCTAGACAACACAGAATAATATCCATACATCACATAATTAGTATTCAGATAACACACAAGAGTATCCATATTGAATACTAATTGGTTTGATTGTGGATATTAGTTGGTAGGGATGGCAATATTGCCCATACCCATGGGTTTTTTACTATCCAACCCAATTGGGTTGGGTATGAAATCCAAATAGATGGATATGGGTAGAGTTTGATGTGTTTGTACCCATACCCATTTACTTTGGGTTGGGTTGGGTTTATAACAAATGGATTTGGGTTTGTAGCCATGCCCAAATACAAATTACAATTTGGTACCTAAACTTAATAGATGTGTATATTTGGTACCTAAACTTTTCAAGTTTTACAAATAGGTCCAATTTTTGCATGTGTAGTTAAAACACCCTAAAGTAAATGGATATCCATATCCAACTCATACTCATTTAGATTATGGAAGCAATATTCATACCTTACCCAAACCCATCTACAAACCATGGTAAAGGAAACCGTACCGGAAGTCATACTGGATCTGTCTGTGGTAGGGTATTTTGTGGTACGACCGTGGTTCAACCGTTGTGTATCGGTAGGGCTGTTAATGAGCCGAGTCGAGCCGAGCTTTCCGATAGTTCGGGCTCAGCTCGTTAATATATTTCCAGGCTCGAGCTCGGCTCGTTCGTCACGAGCTTTAATATGCAAGCTCGAGCTCGGCTTGTTTATGAAAATGAAAGCTCGAGCTCGGCTCGAATTCGGCTCGTCAAATAAGTTTAACGAGCCCAAATTCGAGTTCAGCTCACAAAATGTTCATGATAGCTCAAGATTGACCTAGAACTGGGCACAAAATTACATTCAAACCTGTAGCAAAGTCTAGCAAAGTAAAACACAATATTTATCCCAATTTCAATACATAAAATCCATGAATTCTAATCCTTTTTTAATGCCAAACCATTAAATGAGCTTGTTCGCGAGCTTTCGAGCTGAACATGGTATGGCTCGAGTTCGGTTCGTTTAGATAACGAGCTTGTTCGCGAGCCGGCTCGATTAAAACGAATCGAGTGTCGAACGAGTTTTTCTCGAGTCGCACACCGAGCCGTTCATGAGCGGCTTGGTTCATTAACAGCCCTATGTACCGGTAAAATACCGTTTCTGTAATTAAATAATATTTTTTTGTAAAAAAACCGTATCGGCAGATTCAGGATATCGTCTTGAAGTAATACTGGAATAAAACCGGAACGAGTAACTATGGGTAAGTCATTTTGATTAATTACTAATGTAGCCTCACTCACTCACAAAGACACAAACAAACAAACGACCTTCTTCCTCCTCACGCCCTGCTCGCCCACCAATTTTCAATTTCCCCTTCTTCTCTCCCTCAACTCTCGCACTCTTTTCCCCGACGAACCAAATGCTAATTTCCCTATTGTGCATGTCGTCTCTGACTGTTGAGATCAACCAGAAAATCATCATCGAGATCTTTCGGCGCCTCGATTCAGCTCCACTCCTGACACTAGCTCCCTCGTCTGCAAGTACCTCAGTCAGACTCGGGAAATTTGAGAGACAGATCTGGAATGAGGTCGGAAAGAGGAATCAATTTGGGAAAGAATCTAACTAGAGATTTCATAGTTGGGAGGGGGTCGATTTGGGACGGTGAGGAAGGCGTCACTGTTGACTTGAACGGAAGTGGTGGTGAAGGCTTCGGGATTCGAGGTACGGCGCGCCTTCTGTAAAGAATTTCAATGGCGGTTTTTGTTTCTTCTCCTTCTCCTGTAATCCCATCCCACATGCAATGAACTAGTCTCCCCCTCCAACTATTTGTCATCTCCGGAAAACACCTAATAGGCGTAGGTTCCCGATCGAGGGTTGCGGATCGCCAGAGGACGAGGAGAGGAGAAGATGAGCGGCGAGGCGGGGCTGGGAAGAAAGAAACAATGAAAGGCTCCCTCCTCCAGATTCGCTTCGTTCGATTAGATATTAGGGTTTCACGATGAATGGCGATTTTTTTTTAATTTTAACTCAATTAAACGTCGACGTTTCTCTCAATTTGAGTCTACCGCCGGTTAGAATGAAACCGGACGGTATGTCGGTTTGGACCGGTTAAGCCGGACAAACCGGCCGGCACGATAAAACTCCTTCAGCCAGCTTACCGTATCGTTTCTAGTCCGGTTCCCGGTTGAACCGGTTGAACCGGCCGGTACGATCCGGTTTCCTGGTCTATGCTACAAGCCCCCCAAACCCATATGCACTTCACCCATACCCAACCCATTATCAATGGGTCTACTTGGGTTTGGGTATAATTACCCATGGGTGGGTAATTGCCATCCCTATTAGTTGGTAATTGATTGGCTGAATACTAATTATGTGAGTTGTATACTAGTTTTGTGATGGTTTGAATACTAGTATGTGATATCTAGATACTTTAGTACTATTTTATAAAATCAGTAGACTTGAATACTAGTTAATACATATTAAATATTAGTTAGTATATACTAACAACTTATACTGTTAGCAGAATAACTCTTTTGCTTCGAGACACTCAGACATGAATCACCAATGCAGATTACAGATTAGTCTCTAGCCTGTAGCCAACTGACACAAATTTGAGCTTTGTTCTTCAGACGTCGGCCCATGAACGCGTTACTAACTGGACTGTGAGCCTGTGACCGACTGCTTCATTCACTGCGGACCACAACCCTGGCTGTAGAGATCCAAGTCCAGTGGGCCTTTGTAAATACACCAATTCGTGCCCTGAACTGCCAAGCAAGATAATTGTTCTTTTCTGGCGTGGACTGACCAGTGGACCTCTGGTAAATCGGCCTGCGTTTCTGGGAACTACTCTCCTCCTGATTGCATAGCTGGTCCAGGCCCAATACAAATCAACTTTTATGTTATATGTAGGGCTGCAAATGAGCCAAGCTACTCGCGAGCAACTCGAGGCTCGAACCGGGAAAAACTCGTTCGAAACTCGATTTGTTTACTGACGAGCCAAGCTTGAGCCTAGCTATGTTCAGCTCGTGAAGCTCGGGAGCTAGCTAGACTCGGTGGCTTGTTGAGCTCAACTCGTGAGTTGGCTCATTTAAAGCTCATGAGATGTCTCAACATTGTGGTTTGAGGGCCAACTTATCACTGACTTATGGACTAATCGATCTAATTTGGACTTTCATAATTCATAGGATTGTTAAATTATAATCTCACATCATGTGAAGTTTAACCTGTAAGAAAATATGTCTTATTTTTAATTCTATAAAGAAATTATGTACAAAATTGTTTCGATACTATGAAATAACATGATTTGAACTAGTTAAAATTTATTAACTAAACAATATGACACCTAAAAATTATAATATAAGATTAATTAATGTTGAACATTTGATTATTTTTTTATCGCTACATCAATCACATGTACCATACACGACATACAAAATGAATGTATTAAATACGATCTAAGAATTTAGTAAACAAGCCTAGCTCGAACTCGACTCGACTCGGCTCGTTAATAAATGGCTCGGGCTCGAGCTCAGCTCATTTGTTAACGAGTCAAGCTCAAACTGGGGTAAAACTCGGCTCAGCTCGGCTCATTTACGGCCCTAATTCTATGTACAAAATGCAACTCTTTTTTTTTTAATAGCGAGGTATTCCATTGAGTTGAGTGATATATGAGGATGGAAAGGAAGAATACTGGGAACTTGGCCGCAATTTGGTTAGTCTTTTACCTAGTTTTCATAACCCCACAAAACTTGGTCGCGATCTTAAAAGTCTGTCTAGCTCTCACAAAACAGCCACACACAATCTAAGCCTTCATAGGGCTGAAATCATGGCTTCTTGCCTCATATGTTTGTTTATTTGATTCTACTAGATCCATTCAACTATTCGCTTCTCTAATCTCTACTCCATCCATCATATGCATGTCTATTCTCTAAGACCCACTCAAAAGTACTCCCACTATCCACACAGTTTCAAACACTCTTCAGGAGCCCAAATACATGGCCATTCGTGTATAATTCTTTAAAGTTAATGTTTGACTATTGTTTTACGATCTGATTGCTTCTCATTCTATCAAAAAGGCTAAAACTAAAATGTTTGTTTTGTAAGTTGGAAGTCGATTATCATATTAATGAAAAATCACATATGAAATTGAAAATTAGCTGAAACTCTGAGTACTTAATTCAAAGAAGTATACTGATTAATCACTCACGCCTTCATAAAGAAGGCTAAGAGTTTAATTTCTCATCCCTTACTCAAAATCCGAATACTTTCTTATCAGCCAAATGGTGAAGCCACATTGATGGCAGGAGAGACTATAGTCCCCTTTAACTCTCAAAATAATGTAAATTTACATGTAAATTTTCTAATAAATTTGAGAAATCTAGTAATGAGTGAGCCTTTAGCCCCTCCCACCAGTTCAAATTATCTGAACGTAGATTATTAACTAACCCCCTCTCGTTCAGATTTCTACGGATATGCATACATTTTACCCATACAACTACATCCATTAGATTTGTGCTACGTTCACAAACTATTGGACCACTAGCTACTATAGCCAGCTTTGGCCTTTGAAGCATAAATGGAGCCGTGCCCTATTGGACGATCATTCATTGATCACATTGAAGAGCAAACAGTTGGGATTTGTCTGATATATCCCACAAGGATTCAAACTTGGAGCTTTCCAAAGTGCGTACGTATATATTTCTTGTGGCTGGACATTCCACCGTACAAAGTGC